TCATCAGTTGTCATTGAATAGAAATTAATAACAGGTAGATGAGATGGTGGTTTATGGTACTTCTAACCAAAGTTACCAAAATTAATGAATAAAAAAACACTGTTTAAAATTCTTGAACATACTAGAGCTAACAGAAAACACTTTTATATCACACCGGCTTTAGCACATGTGAGTTTGGGATGCAGTTATTCTCAAAGAGACAACTGTGCATTGGAGATGATATCCTTAAATCATGGCCTGTTTGTTTTCATGGGGACATATATATAGACCTATATAAGGACCATAGTTTATTACAGTGAGTATACTTTAGGTTTTTTTTTCTGTTCCGTAAATTTTTTTTGTCTTGTTCCCGACGAACATAACTGCTCATCTTTCTTCTAAGTTTGGCACTTTTCCTCTGCCCATATCTTTTTAGTATTTTTTTCTGTACCAAATACCTATATTTGCAAATATACGTTTTTTGAAAAGCAGCTTTGATGATACCGGTAAATAGAATAGAAATAATGTTCCTGAGTGGAAAGTTTGAACTCTGAAAATGAATATAAAGATTAAATTATGTGAAACTGTCTGTGATTGTGATCTAGAATAGACAACAGCTGGAAAGTAGAACCCTGTGACCTGATGAATGATTTGAGCAAAATGTGTTGTTTCTATCTGTAGTATGTGTTTGTTTAGCTATTTAATTTGTCACCATTTTACAGCCCTATGTCCTTTTCTATCTCGTCTTGCTAACTTATCCTTCCTGTCTTTATTTGCGCTATGACTTGTTTGTTGTTGTTGCTCTGTACACACCTTCCTTTTGCACTGTTTGCTGCTGCTGTCACATGGCCTCCAAGGTTGTGTAGCTCTTCACAGACTTCCCCACCTCTGTCACTAATAGGAGCTTCAGCTCCCTAAGAAAAGATTTTATGGCTTCCTTCATAGAGGGGATTGTATCTTACGCATCCAAGAAAGGGTGATATAAATCTGATGTAGAAAAGACATTGGGTGCATCCAACACCGGCTCCTCTGAGGACGAGGAAGGAGAGAGCTTCAGCGTGGTCAGATCGAAGAGCTCTAGAGAGATCCCAGTGAAGCTTTGGCGACTGAAGTGTTCCAGATTCCCCTGTGGCAGCGAGGAAATGGACTTGGCAGAGATACTCGGTCAGAGTATAGGAGCTCCATGATGGCAAGTATCCGATTTTATAAATAAAGTCTATAGTACTTCAGAATAGGCTTTTGGAAAGCTGTAAGCCGGAGCTCACTTGTGGCACCACTTGTCAGCTCCAGTGCTTGATCACCTCTAGATTGTGATAATTTGAAAAGGTTATCCAAAATATTAATTAGAGTCCTTTGCTAGCTTGATGTGGCCTGTTAAATTTAAAAGGACAATAGCTGTGTCTGTTGTGCTTTTCACCCCCACCGACTGTGGTTTGGGATGGGGGATTACACTACATGTAGTGGACCTAATGCCACAATTGTCCTTTTAAAATGTAAATTCTCAAATCCAGCTTCATGGCTATGAGTGAGAGGCCATGCAACCCTCTCACTCCTTATAATGAAGAGGGGGTGGTATTTGTCTAGTCCGCTGCTCACCCTAATTTTTAAAACACTCTGCACCTGGTCATCCTATATTAAATTATGTAATTTCCCAATTGATATTATCTATATTTTTGTATGTCCTTACTTCCTGTGCTGAAAATCAATCAATAAAAATCTAAACTTAGAACTAAATTATGTTATCCCCATCCCTAAGCATTGGGGATATGGGTGGGAAGTGGCAGTGGCAATGACCTCACGTTTATATTCATATCCTCTTGATGAATGCTTCCTACAACCCTTGTATAACCAGCTCATTTTAAATCTCTCCTCTCGTTCAGCCTGTTTCCTACAGGCTTGTTTATTTGCAAGCTAACTGTGAATCCTCATAAAAACACATATATTTTTTTTATTATTTTTGGTATGTAATAGCCTGTATGCGTGGTTCTCTAGATTGATACGTTAAGCAGGGATCCTGAACCTTGACTGAGTACTGGGAAGACTGAACCTAGCTGCACTAAAATTCTGGTGTGCAGTGGCTCTATGGAGATGGTGTGGTCGATCTTGCTCTCTATCTCTTACAGAGGCAGATGTTCAGTCTATAAGTGAAATAAGACCAGGTCTGCAACTAGGGAGGCATATGGAGCTGGGTAGGATAGAATATGAGGCATGATTGGCTGGGTAGAATCAAATATGTGATATGTGGGGCTTGGAGGTGGGGGGGAGGAGACATGAGTGGCTTTGGTTTGGGCAGATATGTGACATGAGGGTAAGAATGTGTGGTATGAACGGCCTGGAGAGAGGAATATGCAGCCTTTGGGGCTTGTAGAGAAAGATATGTGGCATGTGGTGCCCTGGGGATATGAGGCAAAAGGGTATGTGGAGAGGATAGCAAAGGTTATGGGGATATATGGCATGACGGGCTGTGAGTGGTATGTGTCATGTGGGATTCTGGGAGAAATATGTAGCATTTGGAAGGGGGACTATGCATGGACATTGCATATAAACATGTTCTGGCACTGCACACACATTTGGGAGAGAACCTGAGCCTGGACTATCATTAAAATGGTATATTTGGGTCTTAAGCGATACAGGGTCTAATTTTGCCCAGGGCTATGAACAAACTGCAGTTTATGAGAGTTGTGGGTTGGACATATGATGGGGTTGTGGTTAGTCAATTTATGTGGGAGGGGCTATTAAATTATCCATGGGCAGAAGATCCTTGTAGTTAAATATACACATGGAAGAAAGTTAGAGAACATTATTTCAGTCTTTCCAGGCTATTGTGTTAAAATATTTACAGGTAGTAATGGCTTATCTGTTGGCCCAACTACTTATTTCTGAATTAGATACATAGATCGTGTGGCTCATGGCCATTGTTATGTAGTTTGGTCTGGTTTCTTCACATTGTCCTATGTGATGCAGAGATGTCACTTATTTTATTTTACTATAGAAACTTCATGCATTAATTATGGAGTATCTGAAATTACAACAGCAACTTGACTTTTATTTATATATTTCAATGGTTTTGCAGTAAATACAACCTATATTTATACTATATGGACAAAAGTATTGGGACACCTGACCATTACATCAACAGGGACTTTTATGATATTAAGATATGAATATGTAAATGGTCCCCTTATGCAGCTATAACAGTTCCACTCTTATGGGAAGGCTTTCCACAAGATTTTGGTGTGTTTCTGTGGGAATTTTTGCCTATTCATCCAGTAGAGCATTTATGAGGTCAGGCATTGATGTTGGATGTGAATGCCTGGCTCGCAAGCTCAGTTTCAGTTTATTTCAAAGGTGCTTAATGGGGTTGAGGTCAGGACTCTGTGTGGGTCAGTCACGTTCTTCCACACCAAACTCATCCAACCATGTGATTATGGATTTAAAATACTCCAAACTGTTCCCACAAAGTTAGAAGCCTAGCATTGTCCAAAATGTCTTGGTATGCTGAAGCATTAAGATTTCCCTTTACAGGAAGTAAGGGGACTATTCCAACCCACGAAAATCAGCACCATGCTATTATCCCTCTTCCACCAAACTTTACAGTTTGCACAATGCTGTCAGTCAAGTAACGTTCTCCTAGCATCTGCCATACCCAGACTCGCCCATCAGACTATCAGACAACAGAGAAGCGTGATCACCCCACAGAACACGTTTCCACTTCTCCAGTGGCAGTGTGCTTTATACCACTTTATCCAATGCTTGGCATTGTACTTGGTGATGTGAGGCTTGCATGCAGATGCTCTGCCATGGAAGTCCATTCCATCAAGCTCCTGCACTTGATGACTGAGTACTCTGTGATTTTCCATGGTCTTCAAATTTGTGGTTTAGTTGCTGTTCCTAAATGCTTCACTTTTCCAATAATACTACTTACAGATGACCATGAAATATCTAGCAAGGATTAACGTTCATGAACTGACTTGTTACAAAGATGGCATCCTAATGCAGTACCACGATTAAATTCACTGAGCTCTTAAGAACGACCCATTTTTTTTTCAAAAATGTTTGTTATTCAGACTGCATGGCTAGGTTCTTGATTTTAAGAGGTGTGTCCCAATGCTTTTGTCTATCTATGGACCTACGGCCATGGAGCTGACAAAATAATAACAAAGAGGAGAGGAATAATAATGTTATAGAAAATCTAAATGTAAATTCTAATATTGAGTCAGTATGTCAATGATCCCAGATTATTGCATTTCATACAAAGGTAATAAGTCTGTCTCTTTAGATAATGTCTTGAATATTGTATATCACCATATACAACTAAATGTTGCGTGTGTTCCAAACTTTGGTTTTAGAAATAAGATTTGTCATTGATTTATTTTATGATACAAAACTTTAGGTTTTCATTTCAGAATGTAGTGAAACAAACATTGGCTACGCAACGTATTGGTAACAAAGCTCATCTTTAAATGTGTATTATCACTTTACAAGACTTTTTGTATTTTTTATTTACTTATCCCTATATTTAATAAATATGAAGTGTGACAAATTGTATTAAATTTGGAATCCACATCTCTTTATTCAGTAACTGAGTACCTCCATCTTAGTTCCTTGTCAATGATTGGCACAGGTTCTCACACCTTGCACCTAGCAATTGCAGTCAGCATTGAGGAAAATACAGATAGATATGAGATAAAATGAGAGCATATTCTCCTCCTCATTTGCAATGTTTTACCTGGTTTTATAAACTGTATTATGATGTAATTTGCAAAATCTTTGCTATAAATTTAAAAGAAAATGGAGCATCTCATGAAACAAAAGGTTAACAAATGTTATAGGTGATTTTCAATGTTTTATTTAAATGTGTAATTTCAGGAGAGGGGGCAGTTCCTCTTTAAGAATTTCAGGGAGGTGTGACTAGGGCTGCATGGACAGAAACAAGGGTGATTTAACTCCTAAAAGGTAGAGAATTGTGCAATGAGACTGCAGGGGCATGAGCTATACACCAAAACTGCATCATTAGATATTAAATATGTTTTGATGCCTCTACTATGCCTTTAAATATCAATTTCTACACATTTCATTTGAATTAATTTTTTTTAGACCTGCAGGGGTACTTCTCTGTAAAAAGTAAAAAAAACACTGTTATAGAATATATATATCCCTGAACTATTTCCTATTTCAACTCATCTGACATGCTGTATTTCTTAAAGGGACACTGTACTCACTATAATCATTTCATCGCTTTGAATTGGTTCTGATGCCTGGAATCTCCTGGCACTGTCTCTCCATACAATGTTAAACCATTTTAGAGCAGTTTAACACTAAATAAGGGATCAAGGCCACCCATAGTCCGGCCTCTTCTGGAGGTGTGGCCAAGGCAGAGATTACACACTTCCTTGAAGTCATACCCTTCATACCATTAGTTGGAGCTAAAAACAGACAGCTGACACTCTCAGCCAATCCTAGCTTCCCATTGCTGCTCATGCTAGTACTTCCTCATTTGTCGAAGCAGCACAGAGGGGAGGGGCTGCTGGGGACTCTAATTTAGCATTAAAACAAACAAATATGAAAAACTGTTTAATGCTGAATGAAATTATGGAACTTGGAAACTCTGGACACTATAATCAGTTTAATGAAATGAAGCAGATACAGTGCCTACAGTGTCCCTTTAATGAATCTTACATAAAACAATGCATCAAATTGTACTTGAAACAAACCAAAGCCCCATGTTTGTAACCAATACTTTATTACAACTGTTTACTTGCACAGTTTATAACAGACCAGCAAAAAATAATATTTGAAATATTTACAACCTTAAATTGACTACCTAACTGTACACAAGGCATAATGATAACACAATTTAGTCTTCAGATTTACTGTGCACAAAAAGACAATATTCATCAGACATCATCACACGAACAGTACAGTGAAATGACGTCACAAGTCCAGTGAAAATGTTGCATTATACAAAACATACCAATTTACTGCAAACTACACGCTTTACAAGAAGCATTTTATTCCATTCAGTAGTAATTTAGCTGGAATTCGAAGCACAGATTTCCTGGTTAACTATGAGTCTCTTAAGTGTGGCAACCTCAGCAGATAAATTAGCAATACCTTGCTTTAGATACAAGCTCTCGGATGCAGCAGTTTTGTACACACTGTCTTTTAATTCAACAACCCCAACCGTTTTGCAAACAGTGGGAATTTGGTCAAGTTCCTTATGGAGCCACTGTCCTGGCTTAATCGGCCAGTCATGAATATTAGTCACTTGAACAGACAATGGTGATAGAGCAGAATGTACCACGGTTTCAGTGCTGTGTTTTTCAAGCTGAAAATGCCTTTTTGATGACATGTCAATTGGCAAAGGCAGTTTTTGTGTGGCAATATCATTATTATCCAGTGTTTCTACTTTTATCTGCATTGCCTTGGCTTTAATTCGCAGCTTGTGAGGCAGGGCAGATGAGTTCACCTCTGGAACCTTTATGACTGTGGTGTGACCATTTTTAAGTTCAACAGGGGAATGTATGGGACCTTTTGGAACTTGCTGCTCATCTTCGGCATCAGAGGTCTTTCCTACTACACACTCATCAGCTTCCGATGTTCTTGGAGAATTACTAGATGAACTATTAATATGCAGCGGTGGAGAATGTGAGTACACAGGGAAGGTGTTTCCAATGAAGTTCTGATATATAGATGTTGTGTAAGAAGAACTTGCATCCCGTGGATCTCTATTAAAATTGTCAGCAGGTTCCTGTTTTATCCTTTGAAACTGCAGGTCTGAAGTTCTGCAAGTGCTCTGGATGGGGTTCGACTGAACATGCTCTCCTGATGATGTTTCTGATGCATCTGACAGAGAGCTTTGTGGAGAGTGCTTAATGACAGAAATACAACTGCTGTTTATTAGCGAATGTTCATGGTCACCAGAAAAAGACCTGACACCAGATTTGGAAGGTGCATACTCCTGAAAGTATACAGCTGTGGAGCTGGTGACCTTCTGGATTTCTTGGGCATATAAGGTAGAACTTATCAAACCAAATTTAAGTTTTAAAGAAAGTAGCTCTGTTTTCAAGTTGGCATTTTCCTCTCCTAATGCAATTAACTTATTTTCCAAAACCATGTCATTCAGCCTCCGTTTTTCACGCGACCTTTTTGCGGCTTCATTGTTTTTTCTTCTTTTTTCCCAGTACATAGCGTCTTTCTTTTCATCTGGGATAAATTCCCGTTTCCTCCGACAGGATGACGACTTGTTCTTAACACTACCCCCATCACTGTACAGCATATCATTGCTGGAATCCATTGATTCAGACATGTCCAGTATACTGGGACTAAGAATGAGGGCATTTTCCATGGTACTTCTGCTATCGACACAATCCTCTTTTTTAATTGTTGGCATTTTTCTCAACTGCATGAGAACCATGTGTAACTAGAACCCTCCCGCAGTTTCACTGTTTTCCTCAGACCAGATGACGATATTATTTATAAGAAAATCCATCTGTTATTAATGTTTTCTTCAAGACCTTGAAGTAATGAATTTGTGGCCATCTCAGTTTTAGTCTTGGTTATGTTCTAATCCACCTGCAAAAGAAAAACAACTGTGTTAAAAATAGAAATAGTAACACAAACAAAATATCATTAAGAAAACCTCAACCCACTCCAGTTACCACGTCTTCAAAAGACCATTTTAAGTGCATAATATCCTCTGAAGCACGGAATGTATTAAGATTACACTAGGCATTTTAAAGAACTATGGGTTTGTTACAACAACCACAATCACATGTACTTCTGCAAATGTTTGAAACATCTTGTAAAATGTATATTTGTGGTTGCTTATAAAACACCAATCTGGTATATTCAAATGAACAAAGATCTCCATATTCACGTACTATAAATGCTATGTGATGCTGTCGTAGTAGTTGGTTGGAGATTCACATGACATTTGTCTGGATATTCTGACAGCATGAGGAACAAATACTAAATTTAATGACTAACAAGCACTTGAAATTTAAAGAGAAGTGGAAAAAGTGAACTGGCATGACAACTAGTAAAGCCCCTATGATTTAAACTGGTATATATAAAAGTGCCCTATGAATAATGAAAGACCCACATTATTTTAAACCAAACACAACTCTTTAAAATGAGCTCAGATAATAATAACTCAGCACAATGTAAGACTAAAATGTATATTGCAATAAATCACGTGTGATTGTATGAAAATCTAGACAACTACTGGCAAAATTTGGATCTTAAAAGAAAAAAAAAAATTGAAAAAAAAATAATAAAAAATTTGGATTTTCTATTATTTTAAAAGCGCTATTTGGAATCCCCACGTGATATTCTATATATATCATGGAACTGCATATTGCTCTGATGCTGATACCAGATCCTGGGCTGGCCTGTAATGTATTAAGAGTAAATCTCTGCCATTTACACAAGGTTGTTTTCCATATTAACCCCTTAAGGACCAAACTTCTGGAATAAAAGGAAATCATGACATGTCACACATATCATTTGTCCTTAAGGGATTAAAGCGCTCCTCCAACCTCCATTACCACTTCTGCTTTTGTAAGTGGTAATGAAGCAAAACGTCTGTGCATGTGCAGTGTTTCAGCAATATTTGCACTTTATTGCACTTTAGTAAAAATAGCATCTTACTTTTTAGAACATTATTTTGCCACGTGTATTATGGCATACACACAAACAGACACACAGCCCATATTACTCCTAATGGAAAATTCACAGCTGTTCCAGATCACAACTGCTGTCTAAGCTACAACAATAAAGCATTACCCAGCAGGTGTTATAATGCACTCCTATGGGGTTCAGATTGTGTTATAATAACGCTGACAAAGAATTCCATCTCGTTAACAAGATGTAATTTACACATCTAATGGTATGCAAAAGTAGTGTTAAACATCCAGGACATTAAAGGTATCAATAATATAACAATATATGTTTGTTCCGTATGTTCTATATACTATAAACTTTTTATGCTACATATTATATATGGCAGTGATAAGTGATTTATTCTGATTGTCTAAAAAAACATGTTTTAGTTTTCTTTAAATGGACAATATATATTGAACACAGTTTTGTGTTTTTCTGCTATAGAACTTTTGAAAGGGGTGATAATACTGACATGGAAAATCACAAGAATTCTCTACTCCTTTTTTGGTAGAATTGTAATTTCATCCTAGTTTTGGGCAATTGGCAGGTCATCCAAATTTCATAACTCTGAATAGCCATATGACCAAAACACGATGCATCCGAAATGGACCCTGGATGAGCGGGTTCGGCTGTTCGTGATTCAATATTCACCTGTGGCACCCTCCCAAAAAATGTTGGGCGTTTATTAAAGTGTAGTGTACTGCCAAATATGTACATATATATATATATATATATATATATATATATATATATATATATATATATATACACATATAGTATTTATTTGTCGGTACACTTTCATGTCCTCCAGAATCCTTTTTGTGAATAGTTTGCATAGATGATATTTGGTGTGAGAGGAACCACTGCATTACCGAATTGTTTTTCCTCTGATTTAAATGATTAGGTTAAACCTAATTTTCCTGTCGAGCACAAGTCTAGAAAACATACCCACTCACTCAAGTTAACCTTTTGTAAACGAACCCACATTCTGACAACTATAATAAAATTAGCATTCATGGTCAGTGACCAGAAAATGTACAGTTGAAAATGGCCTTTGCTGGTAGAGAGGCTCAGAGTGGCAGTAAAAGTTACAAACAGGGTTTGCTAAAATCAGCACAACTCTACTTTTGACAACATCAGCACAAATCTGCCTGTGATGATTGCAGCTGCGCTGGGCTTAAGTCAGAGGTCAAAAGTGGTAGGTTTACTCTTACTATATCAAGTAAGAGTCTTTATTGGGGCCATAAAAATGCTACTTCCTCATCTCTAAAGCCTTTTGGAAGAAATGTCTTTATTATAATTTGATATTTCTCTTGGTATGTATTCATTTTAATAAAATAATTAAAAAAAAGAAACAAAAACGAAATCAGAAAAAAAATCTACTAAATGTAAGAAAAATAAGTGAAACAAATTCATTTTGTTTTGCCTTCTAAATGTTGATTTATGTCGGTGATTTCTCTATGATGCACTTTAGAGATAAGATAAACATTTGCATAATTTCAAAAATGAAAAGCTGTCTGCAAACAAGGGATCACCAAGGATGGGAAATGGTTGGTGGCCTGATGTCATACTTCACTGGTAGAAAAATCCTGTTTTTGTTTTTCTGACTGACTCTCCATGGTTTGGTTTTCAGTGATCAAAAAATAGTAAAAGAACAACTGTTCATACAAATATAAATACTCAGCTAATGCTCACAGCACATCCTGCCAAGGTACACAAAGCGAGCCAACAAGGTTACCATTTCACTCTTTTACAATGCCTCATTAATCTAATTTTATTTCTCTCCTTGGAATAACAGAGCTGGAAGCCTGTTACAAGTAACATCGAGTGCTTGTTTTTCCTTTGTTTGGATAACATAAGATACAGACTGCTTCTTTAAACATTACGCTACAAACCAGGCCCAGCACTTCGCACATGCATCTAATATAATTCCTATGACATTCCAGGTTTCAGCTTGAAAATGAGGCTTCACATGATAACATAGGCATTTAACCTCTTAGTAAATATCATCCATCCATCCACTCAATTCGCTTTTCTGACTTGATATATTTTCTGATTTGAAATGTTTAATGGAAGCAACCCAGACATCTATCTTTCTTAGAGGACACAAGCTGTTCCTATTCAGTCCTGATTTAAACTTCTTATATAAAGAGCAGAACAGAGCCTTTTCAAGGCAGGCTAAGGTTCACATGCGTTTATGGAAAGCTCCTGATGGAAGACGATACTTCGCTTTTGGATTCCAGCTCCATTTACAGCCTATAAAAGAACCTCTGACCCAGACAACAGGCAGTGCTTGTAAGATCTATTCCCAGACATGGAAGAAAGACTGAGCGACTAAATGGGCAATTACAGGATTATTTTATGAACGGCTGGCACATTTATCCAGAGACTAATATGTAACTATTCGTAGGCAGCTGACAAGCCTTCATCATTTTGAAAGCGCTCAGGGTTCAGCACTAAAGCAAAAGCGCCGTCGCTTGCCGCGCTTGCTGTGATATAAAAGTGGGATTAACTCTTTGAGTGCCAATGAGACGAGGAACACGCTCAAAAAGAACCGTAACCGTACAAATTCTACTTTCTCTTCATTCCTCGAGCCCAACACAGGATTCACCATGCTGTATCTTCTGCCAAGCTCAATGCTTTCTCTCTATGGTAATCCCTCTATGGTAATTCATCGTTGCAGAAATTATTTACATTCGGAACACATACAAACATATTTTTCATTCCTGCTAGAAAAAAAATATATAAAAAAATCCCCAGAAACTGATTCACCATGCAAATCAATGAATATCATTTACTCCAGCTAGTCATCCTAAAACACATTCTAATCCCTCTATGCATGAGTCATCGTTGAATGCTCTTTTTATTTAGTTTATGGTAATGACTGTAAGTGCAGTTCAAACAGTATAATAGCATTTTTTTTAAAACTACTATCATTATGCTTTATCACAATAGCCCTAAATTACTGAACGAAGAAAGTAAATTGTGGGATATTTTCCTGCAAAGCTAAGCTGGCTTTCTGTGCTTCTATGAGTATTTTCATTTTTCATTGTAAAAGGGCTATTTTCAAGGAACAAGGGCCCACCTTTTGGTTGCCATCATGTAGACAGAAATTTGAACATCTATTCACAGATATGGTAAACATTTTAATGGTAATAGGGAGGAGACATCCAGCTTTGGGAATGTGGAAGCCCAAAGATTAGCACAAACATCACAACTAAACCAAAATACATTGTCTGCTGGAATGCTCAAGATATATTCTTAGAACAGATATCCATTGCTGCCATATATGTGGGAAGTGCTAAAAAGAGCACTATAGTCCCAGGAAAACAAACCCAGTTTTCCCGGCACTATAGGGTTATTAGGTCCCCCCCTCCCTCATGGCCCCCCTCCCACTGGGCTCTATGGTTAAATCCCCTTCAGTCACTTACCTTAATCCAGCGCCGGGCTCCCTCGGCGCTGGTGACCTCTCCTCCCCTGCCGATGTCAGCTCCCGAGAGTAGACGAATTTGCATGCGCGGCCAGAGCCTGGCTGTCAAGAAGATAGCCACTAGAGGCCGGATTAACCCTGTAATGTATGTTTTCAGCTGCAGGGTTAAAACTAGGGGGACCTGGCACCCAGACCACTTCATTGAGCTGAAGTGGTCTGGGTGCCTATAGTGGTCCTTTAACTTGGAAGTGATATACAAGATGTGGACAAAATGATCTTGGGAGTTCTAAAATGGGCAGAGAAGTTTTATGGCAATAATAAATTGGTATGCAGTGGGAAGAGAGTGTGTAGGGTGGTGTCAAAATGGTAGAATGTTCTAGAGGAGGTGATAAGTAGAATTACCTTGAAGATTTGGTGAGCTTGTACAGCCTATTTCATCTCCCAGGTTTACATAACATTTTTCTAACATGAAGTGAAAAGGGATGATGTCAAATTACATTGATATTAGCTGTGTAGTCCAACAACCAGCAGTCCAACTTGAAATTCCATTTTATAATCAATTACTACTGAACCATGGAATTAAATGAAAAATATTCTAATCATGAAAGTATAATTTAGAGCTGTGCTCTTCCTGCATAGCGTGCCCTGCAGTGAAGATGACAGTATCCCCACTGGACCCCAGGGAAAGCAGATGCATTCCAACTCTCACAAATGTAGGCGAAATACATAATTTCTAAATGTGTGTGAGAGTGTGTGTGTCTTTCAGAGAGTGTCTGTCAGTGAGCATGTCCATATCTGTCTTTCAGTGAGTGTGTCTGCTTAGGTGATTTTACTCACCTTTTTTCCCCACACCATGTCGGTCCCGCTGTGGGTGGCCCCGCCTCTATGGCTGAGATTATCAATCTTGATTATCTCAGCCAAGCCAATGCTTTCCCATAGGAAAGCACATGGAGGCTATTGCACACATCTAATCAGTGCATCTCTATGGGGAACCTTAGAACATGGAGACGTACTGAATGTAGTTGCTGCACACTATGCAGCACTGGACTAAGAAGCACCTCTAGTGGCCGTCTGATTGACTACCACTAGAGGTGTTATTAGGCAGCAATCTAAACACTGCCTGTTCTCTGAAAAGATAGTTTTTACATTGAAAAGCCTGCAGGGACAGGCTATAGACATCAGAACTACTACATTGAGCTGTAGTGGTTCTGGTGACTATAGTGTCACTTTAAGAATTTTATTTTTTGCTCTCAAAATTAAGCTTTGTTAGTTAAAAAAAAACCTGGCTCCTAACTTTTTTAACTGATTCCTAGATTCCAAGCAAATTTGTCCATCCCTGTTTTTTTTCTATTAAATCAGCATGTTTTCTACAAATGCTACTGCTCCTTGACACCAACAATGCTATTTAGTCCAGTAGCACTTACAGTAGTGATGGCTGATATTGGCTCCCCAAAAAAGCACCGTTATATGGGGTGCCAGGTTTAACTACTGCTCACTGAGGTTGTAATGCAGTTTCTGACATTAAAAAGCACACAAACAAGAGATGTAGTTAATATTTGAGGTTTTATTGACATTGATGACATTTGAACAGTCATTTCTTTTTTCATGTATGTAACTAGATACATATATACAAAACCTCAAATTTGTCAGATGGGTTTTGTGGTGGGAAAATGGCGAATACTTCCTGATGAAAAAGATATATATATATATGATGTTTTTTTGTGTTTTTTTGCCTTTGTTTAAATTAAATATAGAAATAAAATATTTTACACACACACACGCACACACACGTCCACTTTCCTACCACTGAACTAGACTGCAGGATTTGACAAACTGTAAAAGGAAACTTTAAAGATTTATTTAAAAGGACTATTTATTTTCAATGCACTGAAAAAAGAACCATAAAAACACTTTACCATGACATTCTTTTACACAGAAATCACAGGGAAGTGTCTGAGAACTTTCAATGAATCATGTTCTAGCATAGTCTACTATTGGAAGAATTAGCGAGGGGGCGTTGTATGATGCAATAATGCAAATACATAGTAATTTCTCATTCAAGTGAAGGAAACGGGCTTGTTCAGTCACTTGAAAATGATTTTATTGTGTTAGTTAATGTTAGTGGCAGCTGCTAAGCAAGAATTTATGATACAAATAAAAGATTTCCCAATAGGTGTATCACCACTTCCTTTTGAACCCTGGAGACAAGGAGAAGCTCTTTGCTGTCTGTAAAAAATATATATATATTTAACACCATGCAAATACATTAGAGTTGTGAGATGTATTCTTGCTCATCTGGTACCTTGAGAGTCCACTTAACCTGCAGCATTTGGTGGGCTGAAGTTAATTTGTAACTTGTCATACATGTGATTTGATGACATCATCAGTGAGAGAGATTTGAAGAGCTCTTCTTTTTCAAACCCTTCAGCCATGGGACAATTGCTTATATGTTATACTGTCCACCATCTAATGTTTAGGTGTGGTGTTTTTTACCTAAGCTTCTCTTGGTTTGTTGCCTTGACATTACTACCCTCCATCCCACCAAATATTGAAAGAGGAATGGAAATAGACTATAGATTCAGTGCATGGCCATTTATAACCCCACTTAAAGGAAGGTACAAGGGCCATTTGCAGTTGTCCACACAGGGTGGAGGGAGATGAAGCCTTGTCCTGGACCCAACGCTTAATCTTCATGTCTGGGGACACTTAATTGTTTTATTTTTTTTCTAAATCCCCTACTGGCCATTCAGCAAGTTAGTTATGGCATTATGACCGCAAACAGTCATGATGTTTTACTATATGAGGCTATAATTAGCCACTTGCACAATGTTTTTTTATTTTTTTATTTTACGTGAATTGAGCTAACTCAGTATTTACACTGGTAAAATGTACTTTGCAAGTGGTGAGCTACACACAGAAATCACCCCATGAGCAGAGCTATGAATAGCACAAAGTTTTTTTTACTTACAAAAGTAACTAATTTTATAAGCTACTTCAGTTTTTATGGTAACTAGTAAACCGACCCATTGATATAAAACAGAGCATCACCGAGCTCACAGGTTAAGTGCTAAAACTGCAGAAATATTTTTATAAATTATCTTGTGTTAACAAAATATTTTATCTAACTGACCATTTACATAACGGGCTACCAAAAGGCATGAAGTTATCTTACAATTATTCCCCTACCCTCTCACTAGGTCTCCTACATAAAACCCTGTTTTCAAATGCTAAAGAGCTAGAAACCATTTTCTCCAGTGGCAGCAGAATATGTAGGCTAGCTGAGTAAGCTTTTATTAGCCAACAAATGATCACAGGAAATGATGTATAAATGTGGTAAAAATCCCCCTGTTCCCTTTATATGACAAATAGTTAAGATTTTAGAGAAACTAACATTTCAGTTTATTTTGTGTCATGGTACACAGTGTATTATATTAGGTGGTGAGATTCAGTATCAGATTTTCATCATGCAGCAACATTGTATGCCCATTACAACAAACCTCAGTAAAAAAAAATGTCCTATTAGCTAAACAATTAGGGTGTAAATGTGTGTACCATAACCACCTATAACAGAATTGCCTCTAAAAAAGGTTTAGTAGCCAGCGTCATGAAATGATCTCTGGGAAAATTACATTAGCTACAACTTGCAATCATTGCTAAGTAAATGAAATAAACAAACAATAAAAAAATAACTTTTAATGATTGTGATTCAACTACTGGTTTAACTAAACGGATGTGGTCTGCAGGGTAAATTTAACCTGAGTTTACAATATTTTTTTTCCTCATGTAAATAGATATATTCAGAGAAACTGTGGAATGTGCTGAACACTTGTGTTGTGTTTATTGAACTGTCAGCTATGATTGATATAGTCCTCTATTAATAGGTCACTGGAGCATTTTTGTCCTCATAGATTAGATAATGGAAAAAAAAGAGGCAGCCTTGTCTGATCTCATAACTTGTATTTTTGCTATTATTGTTATTATTGTACTCAAGCTGTTATTAAATATCTTCAGCGCAAAACATTTGCTGCATGAGCTGTAACAAGGCCATTGTGTGTCCAATGCCTTATAATTATGATGACTGTAGTTTTGCAATACTTAAACTTTCTTTGATACCCGGACTGGATGTTCTGGAACAGAGATGTTTACAGCCGTGGCCTCATGTCCCTTCTTGGAAATAGAATCAACAGCAAAAGTATCAGTATGCTTTAAGTGGCAATAATGCGTTCACACTAAGACATCTCTCTCTCTCTATTATAAATCTGCATCGTGACAAGGGCTACTATTTCCCATAGATTTCGAACAATATAAAGCAAATTTTGTTTCTCCCACTAGTACCTGAATTTTAGCCAGTTCTGGATATAATAATCAATGTTCTTTGTTATTTTTATATATTTTTAATATTTATTTATTTTGAATAGCAAAAGAAAAATACACACTCACGTTCCAACTTTGCTCTGGTTTTAAAACTTCCCTTTGTTCCCTATAAAATGGACTAGACATTGTTAATTCTCCCATTACCTTGAACAAACTGGTAAAACATATGTAAAACATACAAAAATAAAACATTTCCCCTCGTTTTAGCTTTTTGGGTGGAAAAAACAATATTCACGGATTGAGCAAGCTGCGGTATACCTGCTCTGATTAAACTGTAACTTCCTCAACCCCATAGCTGAGGGTGCTAAGCATCAAAGTGCAAAAATGATTGAAAGGCCGCAGCTGGGCCTATTCTACATTTAAAAAAACGAAACAATTATTAACAGTTAATGACTAAAACGAGTTTGGATGCTTCACTTAAGGTTGTTTTTTGTTTTTTTAAAGTGTGCATTGTTAGCAAATTTGTTTTTCAACTGTTTTCTTTTGTGACGATAGGGGAGAAATAGAGCTCTCTCCTCTCTCTTCATCAGTGGATTGCAATGTTAATGAATGACTACACACAAACACTGGGAATACGTGACTGGCAAGGCATCGCTTCCTCCTCCAGGGCTGCCTTGCCCGCTCTATGCAAACAAACAGTGTTATCCTGTCTCCAAGATCATATTTCAGAACTGATTAGCACAGGGTGATCCTGAGCACTAACCAACAGTCTGTAATGGAAAACGCATTCTTAAAAGCAACAAAGCCTGTTATGTCACAACTAGTTATATGGCACTTAGAACTGAAGTTACCTAACACCCTCTTTATGCAGACAACTATATGAAGCAAAGGCCTACATTTATCAACTATTCTGTTTGCCCATTCATTCATTTATTTATTGCTGTTTTAGTAAACATTTGTAGTGCAAAGTGTTGCAGACCTCTGTCTACCAACAAACAAGTTTATATTACAAAACACATCCCCAGATTAATACATTCATGCAATGAGTGACAATGTTCACTGTTTAAAATGTGTGAAACACTTATAAAACACTATATAAGAATTATTTGATGCAACAGTACCTACTCCTTTTCAAAATCTCAAAAATGTTTGCTAAAATTAGGCATGCGTACCATTTTGTAGGTGTTTGTCTGTGCCGTGTATAAGAATTTGTGTTTTATTCATATGCTTTCTGATGATGAAAATCATAACTGAATAAAATATCTAATAGTGGTATTTACTAAAGTGTGAATTGTCAGGGACTCAAAAGTGGATTCAAAATTGCTGTTTTAGTCACATTGGAAACATTCTCCAAACCAGCTAAATTGTCAGTTCTGTGATTTAAAATGTTAAATTCACTTTGAATTCTTGACAATCCATACTTTTATGAAGTGAGTGTTGTCTGGATTTTGCAAACTACAGGTCTATATGCATTACTGTATGCATTTTATATGTTTATGTCAACTTGATGAAATCAGAAATGTGGTCTATTTCCCACCCATGTAGTATATTTATCATAAGAACCTTTTTAAACTGAACTACCGTTACTAAAGCAACTATATTCAAAACTGTCTAATTAAATGTCATGTGGTTTATAATAGTTTTGTTCCATTACTGAGAGCAAAGTATCAATGTCTATGTGGAAGAAAGGTCAAGCTTGCTTGCAGTCTTTGAATTATGTATACTTCAATGAACATTCAGACAAACAGAATTGCATATTTTCGACATATGTTTTGTTTGCAGCTGCAACAGGGAACCATTACTTTATATTATGTTATATGTTATTTATACAGAAAAATTCTGGGTATGTATGATATGTACACTGTGAGTTTTGAAACAAAAATGAAACCCATAACAAACTGGTTAGAAATGTGGCAGAAAAACAACTATTTCAGCAATGGGAACAGCAGATTTTCATAACAAATTAGGATTTTGTTGAATGCAAAAAATACAAACAGATGATGTTTATTCACTAGACACGGTAAACAATGAATTGTATTGGATAGATAGTGGTTATATACGTGTTATGCAAGTCTATGTACTTATGTTATCACTTGTTCTGATTATTATGTATTATGTGATGTGATCTGGCTGCCTTGTTGAACAACTGAACACGACTCACAGAAAGAAATCAAACTGCAAAGTTTAGGCCAAAATATTTGATTTGGAAAAATTCTCCAACTTAACTGTAGTCAACATTTTGGCTATTTTATCCTCGATTTTCCTATATAATGCTTTTTGGATCATTAATGTTTGGTGCTCAGTGAGTAACTTCCCCCTCGCCCCCCAAATCTGCCAGAGGCTTATTTGCTAAACAGTAGAATTAAATGAATTGAAATTCGTACTGCAAAATGAAAAAAAAGGGAACAGATCCATAGCATTCTTTTGATGCGTTCTCTTATTCTTTAAAGTGTACAAATCATCTGCAAGATGTGTTAATGAGAGATATGTATAGATTTAATCTACACATTGTGCTGTCAAAATGTACAGCTTTAAAGATTTACCTGCCTGAAAACTGCTTCCTCCTTCACTGTCAGAAATGAGTATGTATGCCAGGAATTGTAGGTTGTAACAGTGTCTATTGGGTGAGGGAGAATGGTTGTAAATGCCCGTTAGTGTGCGATTTGTAGTTATACCTAGTACTCCACTATCAAAGTGGTAATTGCCAAATGTCTAAACTAATTTTGAAACCATGCATGCACTATTAGCAGCTACGACACTTGGTCAGGTTAGTCATGAGTGAACTATTAAAATATAAAATAGCAATACTGTAACATTTCAATCTATGGCATCTGTTTCAGATAATCCTTGACAGCCAAATTGGCACTGCAAGGCTCTATACTCAAACAGGTTTGTTAACATGCCAAAAATGTAAGGATTGATTTCAACATTAATTGGAGGCACTATCACATTTTAGTTTCTCAAGAGACAAGGCATGTAGAAAAAACTCATTTTAACTGCATTACAATTTCATTGAAATCACACTGCAATTTAAATATTTCAGACAAAGCATAAACTGACTTGTAGTATAATGTGTCAAAAGGTGGAGCTTCGAACATCCTCTGCCTATCATATCACTAGCAAAGGCAGATGGGAACATACATATCCTGTCGCAGTTTATGGCATTACCCATGCGTGAGAAATCCTGAAGAGGGTCTCATAAGTATGCATGAACTGGAGTACATCAGTCATGCAACTCATGGTAGATGAAGATGTCAGGAGAACCATACATGTGGACATGTCAACTGCACGCATGGAAAGGTTAATATTAACAAAGTGATGGATTTCTCTTTTCTTTGCTTTTTTGGGATGTAAATACAATTCAGTTAGTTGTTAGGAAAACTGTAGAGTAAAAATCATTACAGTAACACTGATTAGCTTAATTAGAAATAAATCATTATTATGTATTATTAATTCTAGAAAATCAGTTACATGTGCAAGTAACGAGGTTATACCACAATAAACATTACTAAATATATATTCCTAGAAATGTGGGCATTAACTAATGGCAATGTATATATATATATAGAATAAAATCTAAATTAGCACATTGGAATATGTCATATTCCCTAAGAATATGAAGCTCCTAAATATGGTTCAAATTCAGCTGTTTATTATGGGGTTATTCACATAGCTGTGATTGTGAACTTACAAAGGAATTGCAAATATTATACCAAAATAGCTGATCTGGAAAAGAGCTGTATTGAAGAATATTAATAATTCAGCCATTTTGTCCCAAAATGTTAAACTCCCTTGTCAATTCTCCATGTTTAAGAACCAAGAGTTGCTTTTGTGCTAGCTTTTAGCAGGTTTATAGCAACCATTCACTACATACCATAATCAGAGCCAAATGAAAACAAACTGTACCTTCCATCTTAACATTCACGCAAGAGACAGTTTGATATCCTTGACAGGCATATTGGCTAATAGATAACAGGAGAATTTTCTTGTAATAGCACTAGAGAGAGAATCTGTGGTTCGACAACGTGGATGCTGGCAGCATTTATGAGCATCTGCACGCAGATAAAAAGGGAATGATATCAAACACTAAAAATAATATGAGACATAAAAGCACATGTGTCTGAGTGAATTTGCTTGAACACATGAATAGGTTCCATAAAAGATTCTACCGTGTAGCATTTGTCACAGTTACATAATATTACATTGCGGCGTGTTAAGTTGCTGATGTTAATTTACATATTTGCCTGCCAGCATTTGCTTTGTCATAATATTATCGCACATCCTTTCCAATTCTTTTACAGCTAGATGCCATTTATTTGTAATCTGAATATAGTATACGATTCATACTTCTTCAATGCACAGACATCAGATATTGACTTCCAAGGCCAGAGTTCTCAATAAATCTACATTATTAAATACCATGTAATTGCCACAATATGCTATATACTATCCTTAAAACCATATTTGTGTCAGTGACTGTTGACCATTGAGTTCTAAGGATCCAGGTTTCAGTCTTGAGAACATATTGTTAAAAACCTGTTTGACGTTTGACCCAGTAAAACAATTTTTACTTGTGGACATTTATTTAACCCCATAAGTGACATACAGACAAGAATACACTCATCATGCACATGGAATTGCAACCGAATTTTATGTAGAGAGGTTGTTGTCAATGAATAAAAAGACATAATTTGACATTTTAGTAAACATTTAAAATAACAGCATGAAGACACAAAGTAATAACAGATCAAATGGAAGACTTGTTGTAATAAAATGTATACATCCATTATGTTATTTAGAATAAATGGGTATATGTACTAAACTAGAAAATGTGAAGAATTAACAATGTAAATGATTTCTTTTGTTTTCAAGTATGTCTGGGATATAGATAATTTTCAGAAATCTGAGAGTCAGAGATAAAATTTTGTTTTGCATTTACAAGGTGCGTTGTTGTTTGTTTTTTTTAGCAATTCTATTATCCTAATTTGAAGAAAATATTCTTTACATCAGGGCAGCCAACAGGGTAGAGCCCCAACTGCTTAAAGCTACAACTCACTTGATGCTCTGACAGCCTTACTGCAATCAAAGTATCATGGGAGTTATAGTTCTATCAAGAAGGGGAAAACATGCTTTAGATTATAAAGTACAGTTAAGAAGAGACTCTGGTTTGGGTTGTTTTAGCTGCCTACTAATACTCTCATTTGCGCTAGAAATCCTATATTTGTTTTATTTAGATTATAAACTCCCTGGACTGGGAAGCCAAAAGAAAAAAAATATGACCTGTTTTTTTACAGACTGGCTTAGATATATTAAAATTAAATTTAAAGTACATCTCTGCATAAATGCTACTTTGCACCACATTCTAAAGATCCAAAAGGCAGACCACCCCAGTCCTCAACTGCACGGATACACATTAAAGTCATGGCAATGCTGACCGTCTGTTTCCCTGCAGGAGAACAAAGGAATTCCGAAAGCTCGGCCAGCACAGCGCCGCCCTTACCTCCCTAAACTCACGTGTTCCCTTTCAATCACAACAAGCAGAAATCAAACCCTACCCACAGAACTATGGGCATAGGCAGGGAAGCATTGCCAGGACTGCATCACTAATTAGATCATTATTGTTATTAGCTTTTATAAGGCGTCAACATATTCCGCAGCACTGTACAATTATATAGTGTGGTTATCTGACTGATAAAAATAATGTTGAAAGACACAAAAAGTGAAGAAGGCCCTGCTCAAACAAGCTTACAATCTAGGTATAGTCTTTAATCTTTTTCTTATAGCACAGGAACTGATCAGGCTAATGTCACAGTCACAGGTACATTCACAGCTGTGTGATACCGTGCGCTCAGGCAGGTTACAAAGCCCACCTCTGGCAATCCAGCTGTTGTAACCCCTTGCCTAAGCCAATCAGAAGCTGGGAGTTGTAGTTCAACCTTAGCTGGATTGCCCAAGGACAGATGTTCTTACCGCCAGCTGTTTTCACCAGCATTTTCAGAATTAGGCAATCACAAGATAGGAATGAGCCACAAATATTAACCATGTGATCGGGTCAGCCAGGGGATAGCAGAGAAATGCATGAATAATTAAATACACCAAAAAAAGCCTTCAGATTGGTAGTCAATGTCCATCTTATACAGTGACACGTGCCTGTGTTTCACTGCAATAGCCCTTCTGTGCTGTGTGTCACCTTACATGATGCTGATACATTGCATAAAATCGGTCAAACAGAAATGGGTTTCTGGTTACATTGTACATCAACAGCTTAACTCGTTGATTACCACACCCCTCTGAATACAGCAAGGGTTAAACAATGAAGGCACAAGATTAATGTACCCTCCGTGCAATGTAAGCCTGAGCTAAATATAGACACACATTATTTTATTTTTACTCTGCAGTCAGAAACATGACCTCATCCAGTCATTGTCTAAACTGTACGGAGAGTATTAATGGAAAAGGCAGAAAATTCTGTCCCACAGACGACTTGATTTTAGCATCGAGAGCCGCTCTAGTTTCTATTGTAGGCAACTTGAAAAAGCGCACAATCAGCTCCCCTGTTACCCAGAGCCCAGACAGCCAGCTAATATCTGAGGTTACATAATGCAACATTTCCAGGAACATGTGCGTGATCAGCCTCCCAGCTGGATAGAGGGACCTCTCTCATGGCTAATCAGGGGAATGACAGCTTCACCATTACTGAACAACAGTAATCTGTCTATCTGTGCATATGTCTATCGATCTATCTATATCTTTACACATGTATTCCCTATTAACCTATGTTATTTTGCGATGTTTAATATACAATCACAAAAATAACAAATGTTATATATTGAATATCAATAATATATATGTGTTTGTGTGTGTGTGTGTGTGTGAGTGTGTGTATCAACACACACACACACACACACACACACACACACATGCATGTATATTTATGTATGTCTTTCTATGTGTATCTATAAATAGCCAATTCATAGACACCGCGTGTTACATTATTCCACTATCAGCCTGCACTGCTTTCCACGTTATTCCTCGCGTTCTGTGTGTAAATACTCAGTAATGCTATTGAGTCCTCCTGTGCATTCTATAGGACGTAGTACTTGGGGTATCAGTGGGAAATGCAGTGCAGACGTGCTCCCGGTGATCAGTAATATTTTCTATGGCGGATGTGGACTTCATTAAACATCTGATGGATTCCCTGCACCAAAGCAGTCAATCAATACACACAATAACACACAGCCCGGAGCCCCTGCCGCCGCCTCGTAGGATTATTATGCAATGTGAAAGAACAAGTCATACAAATCTTGCTCAGGCTCCCAGACAACAAAAGGAGGGCAAATCATTTCACAAAAACCCATGCAGATCTTTTAACGGGTCATCGCGTATTCCCCAGCTGTACGCGTACAGATACATTGCTACCTAATACAAACACCCATGCATAATCATATGCCTAAATACACACTTAACGGTTATACACACCTGGCTGTCAATCAATGTGTCCAACACATTATTTCTAAACCCATCCCAGCCATCCCTTACATACAAACTAACAGCTATAGTGAGGAATGGGGTGCTTGCTAAAAATACATAGACGCCATCCCTTATATACACATTATAAAAAATATTCATTATTAATAATATATGTGTGTGTGTGTCTGTGTGTGAGAGAGAAATGGGGTGTTTGCTACAAATCCATACCAGCCATCACTTATACACACACACACACATTATAAAATATACAGTGAGGAATTGGATTATTGCTACAAACCCATACTAGCCATCCCTTAAAGACACATTGTAAAACATAGTGATGAATGGGATGCTTGCTACAAACCTCACTGATGGGGGAGTTGCCTCGTCATTCATTGTCTACCACATCCATTCCCATTCAAATAATGCAGGATTTTAGCAACAAAGCATTGTATCAAAGGAAAGCTTCCCAGGGACTTGCAGTGAGTGTGTGTATAAATCACTGGCAAGTACCAACACTTACACAGAGCATGCATACCTACTGCACAAAGTGAACTGAGGATGGTACTGCCAACGCTATTACCTTCATTGGAAGCTTCAGAGCGGAGGTATCCTTGCCGCTGGTGATGTTTGAATGAAACACTTCACTTATCCACTCTCCAGCCAGGGTATCAATGAGCCGAATTCTTTGTATCAATGAAGGAACAATACAAACACAATAAAAGACACAGACACACACACACAGAGTGCTGGAGCCCTGGGATGCAGCGCCTCCCGTGCAGTGTCTATGTGTCCCTGCTCCAGCCTGCTGCTCCTCTACAGATCTGTGTTAGTAGGTCAATACTCCTCAGCGTTACTCTCTGCACTTCCAGGCTCGCTCTGACTCAAACAGGAGTTCTTGGCAGCCAATCACAGAGCCGGGGCTGTCAGCGGCCGCCAATAGGAAGGCAGCAGTGGGAGCCTGGCGAGGCGGGTTCGGTTGTGTGGATAGAATGGAGAAGTCTGCTTGCGAACACTGTGTTACTGTAGAACGTGGAGCTCTTGTCTTGTGTATATTGCATAACCAGAGTCACAGGGAGGAGGGAAGGGGGAGGGGGATTTACGTAACTGCCCGACAGGGATACAGAGGCGATAGATTAACCCCTCGTAGTCAGCCAGCGGAAAACTAGAAAACATACATAACATACAGAAAACATCACATCCCTGTCACTTATAGCACACTAATGTTATCCATGACCCCTTTCAACCCCCTGTAACATTCCAGTCAAGTCCAGGCATTTCCCCCATGAAAGTCTTTTGTTTCCATGTAAGCTTGAATAAATGGTAGTATGGCAGTTTGCTGTAGATAAGGCTAAACATTGATTTCCAAGCCCGGCCGCTCACATATTAATGTTTAATGTGAGGCAAAAAAACAAAAGAATTAAGAGTCAGATAATCTTATTGCTATCTCTCTCTCTCCCCCCTCCTATGTACTTTTCGGTGGTCTCTTCACTTTATATGGCTGTTTAACGTTACTTACATGGTATGAATGCAAGATATACTCAGCGCTGCTCTGAGTGACACGCTCTATGGAAAGTAATAGCATATAAACTGGTGTTATGTTAAACACTGCATGCTGTGAAAAGGTGACTAACTTGGTCCTATTTCTGTAATCCCCCCGTCACCAGCTAAGCAGTGTCATGATATTACCTGCCCCCCTCTCTCTCTATAAAATCAGCTATACTTTCATCTTCTCCATTTCTATGCTTTTTCCACCGCTTCGCTTTTGTCTTAGGGGGCTATCCACTAAACTGTGCATTATGTCTGTACAGTGACACCACAAGGGTTAATACAGTAATGAGTACATTGAGTCAACATGGACAGGCTTAACACACTAAACAGTGACTGTAACACACTTTCCCATACTGATTTGCATATGATGTTACGAAGTTCACATTTTCATGGGGATGGATAGAATAAATGGATACACCTCCACACGGACATGTATCTTTCTGTACATGCGGGGGCTGAGCCACTCCTCCCTGTAGGCAATCTACCTCATCCCTAATATAACATATAGTGAATAAAGCATTCTGCAAGCTGCCTTAATGCACTGTTTAGTGAATAAACCTTTTGAAGTCAACATAATGTACGTCTTAGTAAATAAACTCTTTTCAGGTTGGCTTAATGCACTGTTTAGTGAATTAACCCTTTCCATGTATGAATACATAATACAATGCTTCATGAATTTACTCTTTTCATTATACTATGCAGACACATTGCATTGTTTAGTGGATAATCCCCTAGGACAGCAGATAAGCGGAGGAAGCAGAGTGAAAGCAGGGGAAAGGTAAAGTATTTGATGTTATTTGCAGTAAATATATATATCTCCTTTCACTGCCAGGGGGAGAGAGGGAGGGTAATAAGAGATGGCACTGGGATGGCAGAGGGTTAAGTCACAGAAACAGAAGCCAGGCAATCCCCTTTTCATGGCATGCAGTTTTTCATACAACACCGGTTCCTATTGTTTATGGGAAGCTGCGGTGATGTAATGCAAATACACTCACTTTTTGTTCACGGGAAAGTGTCATAAGAGTACAATTCCTGTTAATCACTTTGAGTTATAAGGAAACATAAAGTCATTTGATAAATATTAGTGACACACAGTGCCCACGTATTTGAGTGCCCAGAGGGTGAGCAATTCACTGCTTTGCTAAATGCTGTATGTCTACCTGGCTTTTGTCATAGATTTCATTTCAGTGTCTCGTAAACATAGTCATTTCACAACGAAACACATCTTGTGCTTTAAATGTTATTATTGTACCTTTTCTGTGGAACTCCCTTCCCTTCTCCGTTAGACTTTCACCCAGTCTCCACTCCTTCAAAAAATCTTTGAAAACATACTTCTTCAGGAAAGCATATCATCTAAACTGTTAGCCGGTTTTCACCCTCCCTCTCCATGACTCCTCTCCTGCAACTGGCAAAAATAACCTACTAAGTTCTCAGTGATTACTTTTCTAGCAACTTATTTAATTACCCCTACTTATACCTTTGTGTCACTATACCCCACTCCATCTAGCATGTAAGCTCATTGAGCAGGGCCCTTAACCCCTCTGTTCCTGTGTGTCGATTTGTCTGGTTACAATTTCGTGTCTGTTAGTCCACCCATTGTACAGCGCTACGGAATTTGCTGGCGCTATATAAATAATAAAATAATAACTGTATATAATATTTAATAATATATAGCTATCAAATATGATGGCAGATTCTTCTGCTTTCTCCCTTTTGCAAAATATATCACTGGCTACATTTATCAATGTGCACATGAATTGTGTACATGCATATCTACATCCTGGTATAGATATTGCACTGTTATCAGCATTAATGCACATTGATATTTCATCACAAAGAAATTGATTGCTCAATATAATCCCTGTGTATAAAAGGGTAAGCCATATTCATCAGCCAAAACAAGCTGCTGGTTGCCAGAACAAAGGCTTTTTCTAACAGAGTATTTTAAACTGTTGACTTGCAGCTGTTTTGCTGAAAGATAAGATTCAAATCTTGTTTATTCTTTTATTTATCAAAATATATCAATGAACAGTACAGGAATCAAGGAGAAATATTGTATTAATCAATATAATGCCTTTCAATTGAAATCAGTAGTAACATTGTTTAATACAGTATTCTGGAAGTCACATACACAATTGAATTATTTTAACTCACTAGATGTAATTTAATTCCAAAAGGAAATTTATGTCACTCACTGTTCTCTTCATCATGTGACATACATAATTTAGTGGGCATGTTGTGTTCTGCAACAATCGAATGTAATGGATGGATGGTATCTCAATATAGTTGATAATAAAAAATGAAAAAAAAAAATATATCAGCTTGCTATCACTAAAATACTACATGCTTCTTGTCATCCCAAGACACTTCTCAGGCTTCACTGCACTTAGCAGGTAGAGATTTTCATAGTTACGCATCATACCCTAATAGAAAACTTTGAAAGGAAAGCTAAAATAGGGCTCATAAAAACGATATGCAATTGACAATTGGTATGGTTATTGTATATGGATATTTTCTTTTTGTCATTTGAATGGTCACTACGTACCCTAAAATGTCATTGTTTCTATAATATGAAATGGAAACTCAATGAAACAAAACAATTTTAACTTAATGAAGATGTTTTGGTGTATAGTTCATGCCACTACAGTCTCACTACTCAATTATCTGCCATTTAGGAGTTAAATCACTTTGTTTTGCAGTCCTAGCCACACCTTCCATGGCTGAATACAGCAGTGAGGTAGGCTCCTGGCCAGATTCAGGTAAGTTAGCAGTAGCTGCTTCTCTGTTAACTCTTCCAGCCATCACATTCAAACTCCCCCTGCTACCTCTTGTCTCAAATCCCCCTGGTATCCTTTAGATTGTAAGCTCACGGGCCATCTAGCCAAGCACTTTGTATAAAAGAGCTCCAATGGATAGATATCAGCTTACAGGCAGGGCTCTCTCTACCTCTTGTATTTGTCTGTGTATATTGTATGTTTCTCCACTAATTGTACAGTGCTGCGGAATCTGTTGGCGCTTTATAAATAGCAGTAATAATAATAATAATAATAAGTTAAACTCACCTTTGACTGCCCTCTGCCTGACGGCCCCCGGAACTCCAGCGGCAATGTCACTATCGGGTTATTTGCAAATTATGCAAAGTCCCCAAACAGTGACATTGCTGCTTTTACAGTGAAGTATATGAGATATTAGTGTTTGAGTGCATAGTGTGTGAATATATGGTATGTAGCGTGTTTGTGAGCAGAGTAATGTAGATATCTACATTGGAGAGAGAGAAAAAGTTAACTGGGCAATGCGCATATATTAAATGGCTATATAAATTGGCAAGTTAGAAGGTTAATTGTTAGATGGTGATATTTATTGGAAAGGAGAGGGTTAACTGATGAATGTGGATATATATGGGACTACCCAATGGGTATTGCTGAACAGGGGTGCCACTGTCCGTTAAGAGCGTGACTGCACCCCTGTAATATTGGCGATGCTGGGAGAAGGTGCGTGCAGGTCACTTCCAGCCACACACATAGAGAGCTGCGAAGGAAGCAGAGGGGAAGTGGTAGAGACAAGGAGGGGGGCTGAGAAGCCTGCTCCAACATGGCACTTCCATCAACCTCAGCCAGCAGCAAAACCCCAAGAAAGTCACCCTCTTGCAGATGGCTGGCAGGCTACATATATAAAAAAATATGATATGTATGTGTGTATATATGTGTCAGTGTGTGTATCTGTGTATGTGTCAGTTTGTGTATATGCACATTGTATCTTACATGAGGCTAACAAGGCATTTGCCTTGGGCGGCACTTTCAGGGGGGCAAAAAGAAATGCCGCTCCCCAAGTGACCTGGCAGATGCCTTGATTGATAGCCTCTTTCAAGGGGGCCCAAGAGCTGACTGGCCTTCCAAGGGCCCTCTCCCCTGAGGCGGGTGCTGCTAATGCTGGCGGGCGGCGAGGGAAACCTGCCCTCTGAGCTCTTACTGCTCAGCTCCCTCACACACCCAGCAGTGATGCCGGAACTGGAATAAGATGCCACTCCTGTTCCCAGCACCACTAAGCGGCATGCGAGGGAGCTGAAGAGGAAGATTACAGAGCCCTCGTTGTCTCCATTGATCGTCCATTTGCACACCCAGCAACAACCCAGCAGCGGATTAGATCAAGCAGCAGCCCGCTCAGCAGCTCCACAGGACCCTAGGGAAAGAATTCACTCTAGCTCTTCCAAGGGTAGTGAGGCTTGGTGGATTTAAATTAAAATTTAAAAAATAAATATCAATTTGTGAGTGTGTGAGGCAATGTGTGTGAGTATGAGTCAGTATCAAGTTGTGTTTTAGTGTATCTCAGTGAGTGAGTGTCTGTCAGTGTATTGTCTGTGAGTGTGTCTGTTAGTGTGCGTGTGTTTGTTAGTGTGCGTGTGTTTGTCAGTCAGTGAGTGTGTCTGAGTGGTTCTGTGTGTCTGTCAGTGTATCATATCCAGGGCTGCCACCAGAAATTTTGGGTCCCCTGACACAGCCCACCATCTGGGCCCCCTGGGGCCCGCCCCCCAAGTCAGTCCACATGACCTGCCCCAAGTCTGCCCACATGACCCGCCCCAAATCCACCCACAGGGCCCATCTTAAGTCCACCCACATGGATGAAGTGTGTGTGTACTGAATTTGTTTGTGTGTGTATAGTGGCTGTAGAATGTGTGTAGTGGAGTAAAGTGGATACGCTGTTTATAGTGGATTCAGATTGTATGTTTGTGTAGTGTACAGAGTGTGTGTGTATAGTGGATGTATTGTGTGTACTGAATTTGTTTGTGTGTGTATAGTGGCTGTAGAATGTGTGTAGTGGAGTAAAGTGGATACGCTGTTTATAGTGGATTCAGATTGTATGTTTGTGTAGTGTACAGAGTGTGTGTGTATAGTGGATGTATTGTGTGTA